ACGACAGTTACTTAATAAGAATTAAAGGAAGATAAGCGAACCAAATAAACACCAACACCATACGGAAAGCAAACCGTTCTGACACATTATTTGTTCAAATAAATATATAGACAAGCATCACAACAAGAGGGAAACTTTTGAACAAAAAAAAAACATTTACTATCGAAAATGTACCTTATCAGGTGAACCACTGACTTCCATGGCTGATCTTAGCGCCTGATCAAAGCTCACAATACCCCCATCAGCTTCTGTACCTGACGACGACGAAAGCAAAGCACTACCACTTCTGTCTGGCTCTGACTAAACACTTAACGCTAGCTTTCACAATCTCCTTGCTTTGAAACAACTAAATCAACTAATAAAGTAGCACCCTCAACCCCTGTCATGGTTAGTAATGGGAGCAATGATAAATATAAAGAAAATAAAGATTATATGGTTACTTTGACTTGAACAACACACTAAAGATGTGAGAATGAAGATTCAACTTGGTAAGAACATACATTTCAGCAAAATTAGAAACTTTTATATGTTCAAAACAAATTAAAAATTGTAACAAACAGAGTTTTATATATCACCGCATAAATTCAATGGTAGCGGGAAATTTTCAAGAAAAAACAGCTAACTAACATGGAAAGAACTATTTTAGCAAAGCAAGAACTGACCGATGTCGTCTTGGGCGTCTTCCAACCCCTGCTCAATAAACTGTTACTGCCAGGTTGTACATCAGCAAGAATCAGTTCGTCATGCAGCGATGCGCCAAATACGGGCCCATCCTGAAAACCACTAGAAAATTTGATTTTTACATAAAACAACAAATTGTATAACATACATGGAGGTTAGCCTGAGGTATAGCAACAGCTCCGTCGCTTTCATCGGCAGGAACGTTCATATTATCATCGAAAACGTCATCAGCCAAGTCATTCAGAGCTCCATTGTCGTGCTCATTGAGCGGGACTGCAGCGAGGTCCTCAGTCAAACACAACTTTTCTAGTACGGCAGCGGCAGGTGGATCTGTTCCAGAACCGTGAAACTTGTGTGG